TTCTCCCTCCTCAGATCCTGTTTCTCATTCTGACTCAGAGTTATTGGCAGGAAAGAAAACACATTAAGGTAAACCAAAATCAATAAATCATGATAGAAAAGCTGTTAAACCATCATTAGAAAAGCCTGCAGCCCGCTCCATAAAGCCAGACAGAGCAGAGGGGTTGGGTGGACTGAGGCTGTCCCTTAAACCTACTGGAGTCCAGCTCACTCAGTCAGCTCTCACTGGCTAAAAACTGAAGGTGTTCAGCTGCACACACATGGAAGTTCTCTGTTTCAGGCATCTGGTTTGGTCACATGAGCCGATAACGTGTTCACCATCTGAATCATGAAATATTCAACCATCCAAAAGGAAATCACAGAACTGCTCTAAATCCAATAAGTTGTTTTATAGGCTCCTTTCTCCCAGCGGGTCCTGGCTGACAGCAGGAGGGAGGCGGCTCACCCTGGACAGGTCAGCAGTCCAGCTCCGGGCCCACAGAGCTAAACACTGCTGGGTTCAGTGACACCCCCCCGAAACGCCTCTGGGCACCCTGTGCATGCGTTTGCATTGTTGTTGACCGCTGAGCCTCCTGAGCTCTGTCAGGACAAACGGCCAACAGTTTAGTTTGTCAGTCCTTTATCAGCGGGACCAGAGCAGCAGTCCTCTACTTTTCTTACTTTTCTTGTCACACATCCGTCAGAATGAATGGTCTGTTTAGTTTTGCATGGAAAACTCATAGTGGTCAAAGGCAAAAGATGAGGACACGCTGACCAATTCAGAAATCTATTTTGGAAGAAATGATTGAATCTTAACAGATGGAATGTACAAAGTACTCATGACATGTTCTGGGGATTTTTTAGATCAACTGTGGTACACGTTTAAACTAAACTTAGACATGTAATCTTATTTGTTTAATATGATGCACGTGGTAGAAAACAGCTATGAATACACACAGTAAACAAAGTTAGCGTTCCTCAGGGGAAATCCAAACTCATGAAAGGAATCAATGCACGAGTTGTCCCAGTAATACTAGGTCACCAGCCTCATCGTTCTGCTTTTTGGTGAATGCTCAGGAAACCAAACCCATTATTTGAAGCTTTCAGAACTTTACATAAACTCCTGGTAGTGGGTTCGGTTCCTGATGGTCCTGGTGCAGATGCTTTTGGTGGAAATGTGCAGAGCTGCTTCAGGGCAGGATCCAGAAGTCATCAAATATATCCAGATAAAACCAAAGTGTGCCTCCAGGAAAACACCATGAGAAAGAACCGTTATGGTATGAAATATCTGTAATGACAGGAGGAAAATGTTTCATTCTGCTGAGCTAATCCCCCCCGGCCTGCTCAGTGATTAGCTGTTCCCCAGCACACAGCTAATAAAAGGTAGGTTTGGCATTGTTCTGCCTCACTCACAGCCATGTGCCAAGAGTCTGCTCGTCAATGTCCTGCTTATAAAAATGAAACAGCTGAACTAAATCAGTTTAAAAAACAAATAGAATGTTCTTGGAGAGAGCTGAGAGCAGTGGGGGTAAACATGTTGTGCCGGATGTGTGAGGCCATTGTGCTGAAGTGTGTCCTGTTTGCATTCCTCTGCTGCCCTCCACACTGTTCCCAAACAGACCGGGACATTCAAACCAGGCGAACCAAAGAAGTCTGGGGATGAAATACAGAGAATCCGTAGAAAAGCATGCCTCCACAGAACGAGGAGTCCGTCCCTCTGGCCGTGGCGTGAGGACAGGTCAGGGCTGAGATCACCACACATGAGTAACAGGAGCCCGTCTGCCCCCCCTCTACCAGAGGTCCATCCCGGCAGCTCTCCTCTCTGAGCAGCTGCTGCAGCAGGTTCTGAGCGGGAACAGAACCGGATCAGCGGGTTCCAGGTACTGGCACACAGACGGTCTGCTGGAGGCCCAGAGAACTGGAACCGCCCCCCCGTTTGTTTGCAGGAAGTGGACAGGCTTTTTCCCTTTCTCCTCAGGTTGCTCATCTGTGACTGAGTGAGCTGCTGAAGGAGCCTGCCCCCCCCCCCCCCCCCCACACACACACACACACACACACACACACACACAGCACCGTCCCTCTGATCCCAGTCCTGCTTCCATTCTGAATCAGAGTCCACTCACAGAGGACTGCTTCCACTTTAGGAGCCATAAATATTCGGCCTGTCCGTCCTCTGATTCTGACCCTTTAAACTCTCTGTGTGTGTGTGTGTGTGTGTGTGCGGGGGGGGGGGGGGGGGCAGTGGAATTTCAGCAGACAGGAACAGGAAGGAGGGCTGGTCCTTGCTCTGAGCACCAGCAGCAGAGTTAGTTTTCTGGTCAGTGGTGAGGCGGAGCTGCAGTGTGTCTGTCCGGTGAGATAGAGGACCGTTTCCTCTCAGAAGTCAACCATCATGAACCCCGTTCTCCCCAGGAGGATGCTTCCATTTTTGCTGTGTGTTTGTGCTTTGCCCCAGAGGGCTGATGCAGAGCTGGAAAACCATCAGCAGAAGTCTCTCCGGGCTCCCGCTGCTGGACGCGCGTGTGTGCGTGTGTGTGTGTGTGTGTGTGTGTGTGTGTGTGTGTACGTGTGTTTCTCTGTGTGTGTGTGTGTGTGTGCTTAGGGATCCATTGCGCCACCAGTACGGGGTTTTGCAGGTCGTCGTCCTGCTGTTGCCACCTGACTCCAGATCAACCCCAGGAAGTGTGTGGCAGGGACAGATAGGGAAACTGGAAATCTACAATAAAAACCATAAAAGTTGCACGAGCAAAGCGTGGCAATGTTTTCAGCTTGACTTTTACCTTCATGTTCTCTTTGATAAAGGACGTGGATTTGAACTTGCTTTGTTCATATTTTGGTAGATAACATCAGGCTTTATGCTGCTGACCCTCCCCCAGCTTTAACCAAACAGAAGAAACTTCTTTTTTTTTTCTTACTTACCAGCTGACGATTCAAACATTTGTTGTAACCCTAAAAAGAAAAGAAAATTAAATAAGCCCAATGTTTACAATACATGTCGATGCTGAACTGATGAGACAAACATGTCCCCATGAACGTGAAAACATGAAGCATGACTGTGAGCGCCTGCATCCTCTGAGGATTTGGGACTCGAGGCCAAAGGCTTTGCAGAGCGGATGCTGTGAAGAGCAGATTACTCTGATCACAGCATGACTCCAGATCCAGACCCACAATGTTTTGATACAGTAAATCAGAGGAATAAGATCCTGGTCAGACACCACAGGAAAAACCTGAAGGGCCCATTAATCGTGCGTATCGTTAAGGACTCAGCTCCACTCATTTAGGAGGCTGCACTTGCTGATGAGCACAGCTATGAGACAGTTTTACTCATGTAAACACAGTCTAGACGGGTCCAGATTCCAGATAAAACGGATGATTACGGCTGGGGTTTCCTGTAACTCTAGATAAGCACAGTCTGACCCAGACCACCACAGCAAATGTGTTTTCTACTAAAGACTCGACTGATTTCAAACAACCCAGTAGTGCAATCAAAGACATGATTCTGATTCCACCAACCAGCCGGGGTGTGTGCCGGCAGCTGGGCTGAGCTGGAAAAACTCTGTTTAAACCAGTAAAGTGCTTCTTTATTAGCAAGTCAATTTAAACTCAGATCTTTGTAAGTAGCTGTGATATTCTAACTGGTGCTGGCAGTGATGAGGAGGACTTTCCCACTCTGAGCTGAAACAGGATGGCCAGTGGACAACATCCTGGACCACCCTAGACAGTAAATTAACTCCAGTCATTCTCTGGGTGGGGGGGGGGGATTGGTGGAAAGTCTGACTCACTCATTTTAAAATACTTTCTTTTTTACACTTCAGATAAAGTTGTTCAACAGC